CTCTATTTTTTTCTAACCCTTCTTGGGTGCAATTCAATTTTGAGGGAGAAAAGATTAGTGCATGGAGCTGAGAAAAAATAATAATAGCATCTAAGTGTTCATCATGCTTTACAGTGCACTTCAAGCTCTTTCTCACACCGGGCACACAGTAGGCACACAGTAGGCACACAGTAGGCTCTCAATAAAGGTTTGCTAGATAAAAAAAAAATATTCTCTCTCATTCCTCATAATCACAACGTAAAGTAACAGTGTTATGGTCATTTTACGGAATAGGAAACTGAGGCCCAGAGAGGAGGCAGTCACGCAGCCAGTAGGTGGAGAAACTGGGTCTTGAGTCTTATCTAATACGTAAATTCAAAGCCAGTCCTTTTTTTCTCTAGGAAATAAATACCCGCCCGGCTTAGCGTTCTCGCTTCTGCCTTCCATCCGTGGGGAGTCGAAGAAATTCCGGAAAGGCAAATCAGGCCTCTGCGCACAAATAGAAATAGGGCCGAAGCGAACACCTGTGTCCCCCGTGCCTGCTGGGCTAGGCGTGGGGTATGGACCGGGGGCAAACGCTGGGGGAGGAGTGCACTTGGCGAGGATGCTGGGCCTGTTGGCGACGCTAGAGACCACGGTTTCCCGGGACGCTGTGAGTGCTGGCAGGGCGGCGCTGCTGCCCCACAGCAGCCCGGGCTGCACCGGACGTGAGCTCCCTGCACCAAGCGCCCAGGGCTCCTGAGATCGTGGGGACCACAACCTCAAACCTCAGCTCCTTGGAGCGCGGGGACTTTGAAGGCGCAGTTATGTCTCCTGCATATTTCCGGGGAAGAGAATAAAGCACAGAGCGAGGAAACAACACCTCCAGGGTCATCCCGCCGGTGATGCCTGGGCTAGGGCTAGGAACCTCGTGTCCAGATCCCAGGCGGGCCTCCTCCCACCCGCCATAGGGGTTGGGTCTGGAGGAAGTGTGGGCGGAGGAGTCAGTTGGGAGTCAGGCGACAGGCTGGATGGGACGACATAAAAGCGCCTGGGAGAGTCCCAGAGGTAACTAACCCGCGCATCAGAGGTCAGTGGGTAAAGAGAGAACCCATGAAAATCGAGATGTGCGCATGAACCTTTACCTTCTTCCTAGTCCTGAAAGACGTCCCAGATCCGACGGAGACCAGCGCTCTTCCTTTCGCGGAAGCTTTGGGACTGCCTGGCTCGGATCCCGGCTGAGCAGTGCGTGGGACCTTCCCCGGGCTGGGAGGATAGAGGAAAGGGAATGAATAAATAGCCTTTCCTAAAGTTCCACATCTTTTCCGAGCAAATTTTACTCCACTCCGTAGAGCCAATTAAACGCAATAAAGCCTTGCATGGAACCTCTCTTCCTAGCAAAGCGTCGCCAACAATTGCCTAGGGGTAAACCAAATACGCCTCAGATAATTATACTAAACCCGGGGCAAGGAGTTGCCTGCCAGCGTCCTCCGCGCCAGCCAATATTTGGATAGTGTAGTGTGTGTGTGTGTGTGTGTGTGTGTGTGTGTGTGTGTGTGTGTGTGTTTAAATTACACGCCGAAACCTGAAACCGACTGGTCGGTGCCAGGGAGGTTACATGATCTGTTTTTCTTGAACAGAGGTCAGTAGGCAGCTGCGGCGCGCACAAACCCTCCCCCGCTGGGGCTGCTGCGCGCCTGCAAAACTTGCCGGAATTAAATCAGCCCTGAGAGAAGGAGGGAGGAGGGACGAGCGCGCACCCCTGTGCCACGCCGGGATTCCCCCAGAATACTCCCCGGCGGCCGGCCCCTCTCCAAAATGGACAGGCGTCCGCCCTTTGGGTCTGGCGCTCTCCTCTGCAAGTAGGACCGCCGGGCGGGTTGGGGCGCCAGGGTCGGGGAGCACCCGGAGCGCAGAAACGTGAGGATTGGGCACTTCGCTCTACCGTCACGGTTCTGTTTTGGATCCGAGTTGTGCGGTGGCTCGCCGAGACCCCAGGCTGGCCACGCGGCTCGCGTCCCCAGGCTCCGAGGCCCAGGGGGTGGCAGCCGGGTCTGTAGGTGTAATGAGCTCACCAGTGAGCGCCGGTTTTCAGCTTTCTAGTGTTCAGGTGGTGAGCGTCAGGCTTACCCCACGCGCCTTTGAAGGGCCCTTCTCTCGCTCTGTCCCCAGACACCCACGGGTCCACTTGCCCGACGGGAATGCACCTGAGACCTCCCAAGGAGGAGCGTTGCTTTTCCGGAAGCCCGCGGACTAGATACTGCCTTTGCCCGCTCAGCTTGGACAGGGCTGTTCTCACACCACGTCTGTCAAGGGAGAAGGGGGCCCCCGGTCCCCGCGGGCTCGAGCTGTCCCTGTAACCGTAGGCGTCTTGGGAATTCTGCCGTGGCATCGCGAGGCCGGGAGGCCGGCTGCTGCTCAGCTCCTGAAACTGCCTCGGCCGGCCAGAAATTCCAAAAAAAAAAAAAAAAAAGCCTCCATTGGCGGAAGGAAGTGCCTCTGTCTGGAGTGACAGCGAAAGCATCCAACTCTGAACGGGTCTCCTTCGCTGGGGGCAAGCAGGAGGCTGCTCTGTTCCCCCGGGGCCCTCTTGCACACTTTACTTAAACTGTCTTTACCTATTCTAAAGTGGCTGCTGGCTTAATAGCACTAGACAGAAAGCCAGTTCCCGACTAAAGATGAAAATTATGCATCTCCCCTGCTCACTGAACCCCTACAACCCGATGGGCAGACAGCCCGGTTCGTGGTCCTTCCCTGGGGCAGCTCAACCACAGTCAGAAGCTGAAAACAAGGACCTGGTGTCGCCAAGGTTGGAGGGTAAGAGGCAATCTCCCAAGCAGCCTGGGCCAGCCGCCTTCTGCTTCCAGACTTAGACATGGAAAAGAAGGAATTAAAAACCGAGCGAGCCGCAGTCCCTACCACATGTAGCTCTTTTCTCCTCCACTGGCGGAACTGGAAGGGCCCGCGAAATTTCCACTCCAGACATCTCATTTTACAAATAATGAAACTGAGGCCCACAGACCGGAAGAGGGTGTGTTTTCCCCCCCAAAACTCTGCTTTTCCTCCCAGCCCAAGGGCATCGGCAGCCAAAATCAGAATATAACTTGGGGTTCTCCTTGCCTTCAGCTGGGATGCACTGCTGGGCTTACTGCGGAGAAGGAACCTGTTCCCCGACCCCAGCAAGCACCAGGACCTCAGCGCTTCGGCTCATCCACCTTTCCCTCACAGGTCACACCAGGCCCTGTGGATTCATCGTTTTGACCTCCCATTTGATTCTAATCACCTCCCTTCCCTCGATGTGCTAAGAATGGCAAAGACTTGGTTCCTGCACACCCAGGTGATGGGATCGCAGTAATCCCAACTCCTCCTTCTGGCCCCAGTTCAGATGTCACCACCCCAGGGAAATGCCTCACCCTGTCCCATCCACCCGCTCTTGAGAAGCGCGGTGGAGCCTCCATCCACCTATCCTCTATACCTATAAAGGTATAAAGTAATTTCCTGGTCTCTGTCAACTCTCTCTCTACACCGCGGTCTTGGAGCGCAGAGAGCTGTACCTGGCGCCATCCACGGGCCCGATATACAGTTGGTGCGCAGTAAAGTTGTGATGAAGTTAGCATCTGACGAAGCTGTCCCTGGCTCTCCTCCCCATGAGTTTTCCCCTCCATCCCTCCAGGCACTGGGGTTTTTTGCAGAGAACAGGCTTTGAGGTCACGATTCTCCGAACTTGGTCCAGAGTGGCTAGTCGAGGAGAAAGGTAATATAAGGAGAGAGAATCAGAGCTGGTAGGTGGGAAGAGTGAAGGGGGCGGGGGGGCGGCTGAAGATGCAGGAGAGAAGCGGAAAAGTAGGGTCCAGTGCCCCTCTGTCTAGCATCGCGACCCGGGTGGGGTGCGGCAGCGGGAACCGCACCCCGGGCTGCGCCCTTCCCAGCAAACAGCCTGCGCTCCCCGCCCCACTCGGCGGCGGCTGGGTGCTGCGAGCGGGTGGTGAATGCGGAGGGTGGGGGCGCCCGAACCTGGACGGAGGAGGGGGCGGGGGCGAGGCACCGCGCCTTCTTGCCCCTGCTTCTGCGAGAGACGCGGCGGCGGCGCGGAGTCCCTCAGCCTCGGTCATGTGATAATCTCGAAGCGTGAGCTGCGGGGGTCTCGGCGTCTCGGGGACCATTACAAAACGCAGCCAGGAGAGCGCGTCGCAGCCACAGCCGCCGCCGCCTCTCCTGCTGAAGACCCGCCCGGGAGAGCGGCGGCGCGGACCGCTGAGCCGGCCTCGGGGCGTCTCGCATCCCCCCCAACATTGGCAGACACCCCCTCCAGCCCGCGGTTCGCGCCCCGCGCCCCCGCCCCTCCTCAAAGCCTGCATGCTCCGCGCCTGCAGAAGCCACCAAACTTTTCCCCGCCAGCGACCGCCCACAGCTCTGTCCCCGGCTCCGCCGCGAGCTGCTGGAGGAAAGGTGACTGACGCAGGCTGCCCGGAGCCGGGCTTCCTTCTCCTTACCTTGCTTCTCCTATCCAGGAACACAGAACTCCAGGGTGGACTAAGTGGCGGGGCAGGGAGCAGCCTTCCCCCGCCTCCTGGACAGCGAGTGTCATTTCGGATTTAAACGGCCTGAGTTCTGACTGCCCGGTCCTTCCTCCCAGCCCACTTGGCCTGCGCTTCCCTCGGACCAAGAAAAAGCAAGGAGACCGGAAGAGAACACGCCCCCTCCCCACTCTTCCAACGCCTGCTCCGGAGCTCAGTCTCTGGCCATCCCAGGGAAGACGCCGCGAGGGTGGCGGTGAAGCTGGCGCGCCCCGCCCGCGCCTGTGCGCTCGGGTCGGCGGCCGTCGGGGCCAGAAGTTGTGAGCATCCAGAGCTAAGTTGGCCCAAGAGGCAGAGCGCGGAAATCCCAGGCAGCTGAGAGAAGGCGGGAGATAAACGGCGGGAGGGTCTTAGGGGGAAGAGGGTGGAGTGGCGGGGCTGGGCGGGCGCAGTGAGGAGTAGTGGAGGCAGCCAGGCCCCGGGAGCCGGCTGCGGAGCCGGTGGGCGGTGGAGGCGCCAGGGGCGATGCCTCGGCCGGGGAAGAGTTCGTACAGCGACCAGAAGCCGCCCTACTCGTACATCTCGCTGACCGCCATGGCCATCCAACACTCGGCGGAGAAGATGCTGCCTCTGAGCGACATCTACAAGTTCATCATGGAGCGCTTCCCCTACTACCGCGAGCACACGCAGCGCTGGCAGAACAGCCTGCGCCACAACCTCTCCTTCAACGACTGCTTCATCAAGATCCCGCGGCGGCCCGACCAGCCCGGCAAGGGCAGTTTCTGGGCGCTGCACCCCGACTGCGGCGACATGTTCGAGAACGGCAGCTTCCTGCGGCGCCGCAAGCGCTTCAAGGTGCTGCGCGCGGACCACACTCACCTGCACGCGGGAAGCACCAAGGGCGCGCCAGGCGCCGGGCCCGGAGGGCACCTGCACCCCCATCACTCCCACCACCCGCACCATCACCACCACCACCATGCTGCCGCCCACCATCACCACCACCACCACCCGCCCCCGCCGCCGCCGCCTCCGCCGCCGCCGCACATGGTGCATTATTTCCACCAGCAGCCGCCCCCGGCTCCGCAGCCGCCGCCGCACCTCCCGTCGCAGCAGCCACAGCAGCCGTCCCAGCAGTCCCAGCCTCAGCAGCCGTCGCACCCCGGCAAGATGCAGGAGGCCGCGGCCGTGGCGGCGGCGGCAGCGGCGGCGGCGGCGGCGGCCGTGGGGAGCGTGGGCCGCCTGTCGCAGTTCCCGCCCTACGGGCTGGGCTCGGCCGCCGCGGCCGCCGCCGCCGCCGCCGCGTCCACGTCGGGCTTCAAGCACCCGTTCGCCATCGAGAACATCATTGGCCGGGACTACAAGGGCGTGCTGCAGGCCGGCGGGCTGCCATTGGCCTCGGTCATGCACCACCTGGGCTACCCTGTGCCAGGCCAGCTCGGCAACGTCGTCAGCTCCGTGTGGCCGCACGTCGGTGTCATGGATTCGGTGGCCGCGGCCGCCGCCGCCGCTGCAGCCGCGGGAGTGCCTGTAGGCCCGGATTACGGGGCCTTCGGGGTGCCGGTCAAGGCCCTGTGCCACTCGGCTAGCCAGAGCCTGCCTGCGGTGCCGGTGCCTATAAAGCCGACTCCCGCGCTGCCGCCCGTGGCTGCGCTGCCGCCCACGCTCACTGTCCCCGCGGCCGCCCAGCCAGCACCGGCACCGTCCACCGTGTGCCCCGCGGCCTCGGCCTCGGCCTCCGCCTCGCCCGCCGCCTCACTGCTGGAGCCCACCTCGGTGAGTGCGGCCGAGGGCAAGGGTGGCTCCCTGCACTCGGTGCTGGTGCACTCGTAAGGCACCCAGCGAGCTGAGAGAGACGAAATGAAGACAGAGAGGAACCGCTGGTCCCCGACCGCGGGAGGGGGAGAGGGTGCCCTGGCCAGGCCCGGCTGAGCCCCAGCCTTGGCGGGAAAGATATTGAAACAAACGAACAAACCCGAATGTGGTCTGAGTAAATGTAACACTTCTGGTGTCAGTGTGTATACTATGTTGTACAATCAGATTCATGAAAGCCAGTTTTCAGGTAAGAGTTTCTATTGTAATTAATATTATAAATCAATAAGTTATGGGGGGAGGGAAATGAAGGCGTTTGGGGAATCCTCCTTTAGCAGGTGAATTGGAAATGGATTTCGATTCTTATTTCTGCGGGACCAGAAGCTGTGGGATCTAAACATCAAGGGGAGAAATGCAACAGAGAGTGACGCTGAGACAGACCTCAGCCACCGAGTTGCTCTCCGCTGGTCTCCTGCAGGGCAGCTGCCGCTCTTGGCGCGTTTGAGACAAAACTGCTGTTCACGAAGGATATCTCGATTTATTTAAGAAGGAAGACAGGGGAGCGTTTGGTGCCGTTATTTTCCTGGTCAGGGAAATGGGCCAGGAGACGGTATTATGAATAAAGCCGCTTTAGGGGGCAGTGGGAACACCATGGAGGATCTTGGGAAACAGTTACGTTTCTTGGCTCTGACCCGTGGGTCGAGAAGGGTAGGAGGAACAGCGAAAGCAATTAGTTTGCACAAAAGAGAATAGCAGCGGTTTACAGAGCAAAGCCCAGGATTCCAAAAGTGAAGTTCGAGAAACACAACCAAAGAGACAATAAAAGGCGACTTTCTACCTGCAATTCGTTGGTGTATCAATCGGATGAAATCATTAAGGAGCCCCCCCAAATAATGCGAATTCTCACGATCTGTTCCATTGGGATTTTAAAGAGAAAAAAAAAATTACTTGCATCGCGACGAGGTTTTGTCCCCTAACTCAGCAGTGCAAGGAAAACCTGCCTCATCACCCAGCAGTTTTGCTCTTTCGGGCTTACAGGAGCGTTTCCTGGCGCTTGCGACCTGGTCACCTTTGCACGCTGCTGTCCTTGTGCGTGGGAACGAAACTTGGCTCGCCGCTGCTGCTCTTTCCCTCTTTTTGAGCCGCAGTAATAGCACTTTACTTGCAACAAACTTTTGGGAACGAAGGGGGGCGGGTAGGGAGGAGGCAGCAGCTCTTTGCCTCTCAGTCACCTCTGGTTTGTGTCCACGCCGCGTTCGGGTTGTGACTTTGTGACAAGTTCATGTCTGCCTGTGTTGTACGCGGTGTTCTCCATTAAAGCTTCTCTCTGGATCTGCCCGTGCCGGTGTGATGGTGTTCCGCTTCTCCAGAAACCAGGCCGCAGCGTGAGTGCCTCCTGCTCAGACAGAGGACTTGGCAAACCCTCTCCTCCCCCGTGAATTCTTAACATCAGAGCTGCAGAGGGGTGAGTTCACAGGCCGGCCACCAGCAGGGACACCCTTGCTCCACTACTCCTTTTATCAGTGGCGCATTTATCTCCTCTGCTACCCGTTCTCGCTTACCGTGCTGGTTTCCCAACTGAGCTCAAGTCCTCCTCGGGGCCAGAACTGAGTTAGCCACACACACACACACACACACACACACACACAGACACACACACACACACACACACAGACACACACAGACACACACACACAAGGTAACAGTGATTTTGTTGTTGTTCCTACACGAGATTCACATCAATACACCATCACCACCAACCAAAACCCTTTTCCCTTTTTTGAGGTCCTTGAGGGCAAGCCCATTTGGTGGGTACCCAGCGGCGCCCCCTTAAATCTGCGGGGTTGGCCGGGGACCAGGAGGTCGGCGCCAGGACACTGCCCCTGCCGTGGCGGCCAACCTTTAACGAGGATCCTGGGCCCGCCACCGAGGCCTGGGACCTGTTGCGTAGAGGCGCCAGCTGCGCCCTGGCACAGCTGGGCTGTGGCCGTGGAGGCTGGAGGCCCAGGGCGGCAGATGCTGGGCCCGCGGAAGCCCACGGCTCCCCACCGGACCCTGCAGGCTGCAGCTACTGCGGAGCTGCGCGGGGAGCTGGCAAGGTGGCCCGGCCGGTGCGGGGGACCCCGCTGGGGCCAGGGAGTCGCCGCCAGGCTTCTGCCCCTTCACCCACGAACAGGGCACCAGCCTGAACCAGCTTCCCTCGGCCCAGCCAGCCCCATGGACGCCTCCTCTAACCTTTCCTCAGAAGAAAGCAAAGGGCCAACAAGACTTGTGCACGGTAATGACCCTGGGAGGGGGAGGGGAGGGTTTCCGCGCATCCCTGATTTACAACAACCCTTGCAGCGAGACCAGGTTCTGGCCAGGCCTGGGAAACGCGTCTTGGTGCAGACCACGGCCTCCTTGGGCTCGGACAATTCCAGTGCCTCCCATTCTGTCAGTGGGAGATTCTGCTAGGTTTTCCTCTACACTAGTTTGATATTATTGAAAGACAAAAAGAAAAAGGGGAGACGCTGACATGGGGGTCACAGACTTGGGGAGACTTGGGAAATCTGGCTTTTTTTGTCTGTCTCTGGGTGAATTGGTGCCTGGAAGCCCCGGGCAGGGACCCGTAGTTTTGAGGCTGAGCGTCCTGAATTCCAGGAGTTTCTTCCAAAGAGCACCCTTTCTTCCCCACCTGCCTGCAAGAGCCAGTGAACTTTAGAGAGAGGCCCATGGTTCCATGGGAAAGGGGTGAGGCCCCACGTGATGTCTGGGGGGAACTGGAGGAGGGGGTCTGGCCTAAGTGACCGCCCCTCCTGAGGAGGGAGGAGGGAGCCTGTGGGCCACGCCTCAGAGAAGGATGAATAATTGACCCTGGCTGTTTACCTGAACCCTCTTAGCACCCAGCCCCACACCCGCACACCCCCATGGCACCCCTTCTACCTCTGTGAGGAAAACATGGTTGTTTTGTTTTGTTTTTACTATAAGGGAGGAGAGAAAGGAGACTAGAGGGCAACATGAGCTTAGAAATAATTCCACTCAAGTTTTCTTCCGGGGGAGAGCCCGGTACTCAAAGGAAGCTAAGCATGGCATTCAGACTGGAGAGCAGGGGATTCATGTAAATAAACACCAGGGATGGGGGGTGAGGGGGAGGTTTTCTGTTAAAGCTCTGATCCCAAGGGAGGTCCCAGTTAAAGCCTTGAAGACCCCCTCCCCCCAACTAAGATGGGGTCTGCAGTCTAACTGTAAGAGTATCATTCCCACAAGCACCATGGCCAAGCTGGGAGTTGGCAGGATTAGTCTGGGCAAACCTCTGAGATGCCAGGACTGAGAAGTCCCCAGGTCCCGGCTCACTACTCCACCAGAATCAGATCTTCATATCCACATGCCAAAAAACACTCACTCACAGACTCTGAGCCAGATTCAGCATGTATTGTAAATGTTTAAAGAGGGATCGAACCCTTAAACATGTATAGTTCCAGTAATAATCTAAGTATGTAGAGAATGGCTAAAGCTAATAAGAATAAACTGATGGTGATATTTTGGTAACCCTCTCAACTGAGTATGTGATCGCATATGATCTCACAGGTATTCTCTCTCTAGCTACAGGTGGAGATAGAGGGAAATTAAGTTCTAGACCTAAGGGAGATGGGAGTAAAGACACTTATGTATGTATGACCATCTCAGTTCACAAGCTTAATAAAATCACTCAGGGTATGCTAAGTACTGGTGGCGATACCATGGCATTATGCTGCTGGTTTCCAGGATGATAGAAGAAGCTACTTACTAGTTGCTTAGCCTGGATCCCACTTCACTGAAGGCACAGAACCCCAAGAAAGACGGGGAAGAGCCAGGAGGGGGGAGAAGGGTTTTAGTGTACATGTCCTTAAAAGAAAAGTAGAAGAAAAACAACTTGGAATAATCTATTTGATTATATTTCCTTGGGAAGCTGAGACAAGAGCTAAAGGCAGAGGGAGGACGGAGCTATTTTAGCTGTGGTCCCTCAGAGAACAGGCCCTCCTGCAAAGGCCAGGGCCTGCACAGTTGGCATCTGGCACTCAGGAAGCCTGTCAGTCAGGCTGGCTTGTGGTCAATTATCTCCTTAAGTAGACTGGCATCAGTCCAGCCAGGGAGGAAGGCTGTTTGCATCCATAGGAATCAGAGCCAGTTAGCTGGAAGTGGCACCACTGAACTCCAAAGCATCTTTGCATTGCAGTGTTTGGAAGACTGATCGACACCTCTCCCGGGACTCAAAGGTGACATTTGCCTGCTTCGCACTACTATAGACATACTCCAGAAGAGTGTGGAAGCAGAATGCCTTAGGAGAAGAAACATGGATCACCAAAGCCTCTAAATCCCCTTAAATTCCATGCACCAACAAAATTACCACTTCTGATATGCACAAAATTATAGAGATCATTATAAGTTGTGGTGGGATTCGGCCCCTCCATTGGATAACACTTTTCATTCTTCACTGTACCTGACTGTGAAATGTGCACACAGATATTTTGGAAGCATGCTTAGGATTTGGATGATGTGGCGGGGGTTTTAAATGGTATTGGTGTTCATCATATTGTGTGCATGGGATTCTGTATGGGGGAGTGGGGGCAGGGTAGAGTTTGTATTGAAACTGGGAAGTTTTTAAAAAAAATGGTTTCAAAAGCCAGTGATCATCTCTTTGTAGGTGAAAAGGCAGATTGAAGATCCAAATGGAGGTAGGGAGTCCTTGAATTGCAGAGGGCAAAACAGTTTCTTCATGTCCAGCATTCTCATTCTGCTCATTGAAAGTATTTTCATTAACTTTATCTTTCAAAGCTGAAATGCTACCTTATACCCTTTGGGGGAGATTGAAGAGATCTGCTTGGGATTTGAATTCAGTCTTAAACCATTGTTTGAATGGTATGAGTTTGGCAAAACTCCAGACCTACTCTGTCCCAAGCACTTTCCCCTTTAACTGTCCCCTGTGTATTTTAAGGAAAATTCAAGCCACATGTTGCTGTTTCCCCCTTGCATTCAAATGTTGCTTTATTGAATTTTAGTATGGTCCATGAAATTTAAATTCTGAGTTTTAAATGTAATATATTCATATGATCTACACTCAATCACATGATATGCACATATATCATTAAGCAGAAAATAAAGCATCTGAGAATTACAGTTGTATTATGACAGTAACACTTCTTTATACTGAAGAGCCATGCTGAGAATCCCATATTAAAAAAGGATTTTATAAAATTATCAGAAATTCAAAAAAAATAACTGAGTGACTCATGAAAATGTCTTTAAAAGAATATTGTTAAGAAAATATTTTGGTTATGTTTAGTTTGATCCAATTAGTTCTTTCCTGCCACAAGGAACAGGTCTTTTGTGTGCACAAGGCACCCGGGCTTTGCTTGTAAGTCACAGTTCTCATTATTGCAGCGTCACTTAAGAAGTGCATTCGGATATGCTTTCCCATCTGAGCCAGTTCCATTCCTGTCAGCACCTTCATGGACAGAGTGTTTTTATTGTTACTATGGATAGATGCTTAGTAAGAAGGGAGCTGGAGAATTGTCAACCAGGCCCAACTGAACTAGATTCATTCCAGAAAGAATCCATAACACTGAAACACACAGATGAGAAAGAGAAAGAAGGAAAGATGGGGGAAGGGAAATAAGGAGAGAGGAAAGGAAGAAAATAAGTTAGAGAGTGAGAAAGAAAGTTAGAATATTAGGAAGAAAAAAGAGGAAGAGGCAGATGTATGCCTCTAATACAGACAAAGGAAAAAAACTAATTCTAATATTGTTTTGATTTTCTCTCAGGAAACTAGATCAATTCTTTCAATGCATGTTACTACACCTATAACACCACTTACTTACCCAAAGTAATTGTGCCTTAGAAACAATATTCCTCTTCTCTTAAAAAAAAATGATCCTTAGCTAAAGAGGACTGGACATTGTATTACTAACTGGCAACTTCATTTATTGCCTAAATAGATAAAGCTTTAGTCTGCCTAAGAATTCATCCTATGTAATAATCTGAACAATAAAGATTTATTTAAAAAAAAAAAGAATTCATCCTAGGTGGGGATTATATAGCATTAACTTTGTTGTAACATGTTTTATAGTGATTAACCTATATCCCCATAGGGCAATGTTTAAATAAATCATGCTATTTGCAGAATATGGAATATCATGCAGCCATTACAAATAATGCTTATAAAATTTTACTCATATAGAAAATGTTTGTGAAATTCTATTGAGGGAATAATCTCAACTCCATTGTGTACATTGAAGA